AATGAGAAAAGATAGAGAAGCATTTTGTGTGTTTGCGGAAGAGGAAGAAGGGTCTTTTAAGTAGGCTCTGTTTTTTAAATGCTGACTGCCAGCCTCTGCCATCTTTCTTCTTAGCACTCCCATTCTTTTCTAGTTGTAGTAGTAGATAATGGAAAACAGGTTTTTGAGTAGCTTGAGAATTGAAGTTAATTATCTTGATAATACCTAGATCTGACCCCAGCTGACATGGCTTGGCTAAGTGTTTCACTTGCACGCTGTAGTTTTTCTTGGGATCACAAAGATAATTACTAATGTAGAAGGTGCAGGAGCAAATGCAGGAAGCACAATGTATAGCATGTGGACAGCACTCCATGAGATGCCAATGCATCAGAAACATTAGTAATGTTTTGTTTTTGTGGGGAGCTTGGTGCCTAGGTATAGCAGCCAACTGCAGCAGCACAAGCAGTTTGCATGTTTAAGGCCGTTTACAACAAGGATGAGCTTATTATGCTCCTTTGTGTGTTGCTGCAGAAATCACAGTAAATTGTGGACAACTAGTCCTGTACATGTACTAAACAGAATTTAGGAGACCACTCTTGCCACTTGTTGAATTAATTAATTATCTGGCTATTGAAACAAATGAGAAGCTTTGAAACAATCTAACTTTTAAACTATTCTAGGAGATAATTTGTATTTGTAGTCCCTCGCATACCATCTTTTGAGAACTAAATTTGAGTTGAACTAAGCTGACATGGCTTGCTGGCATTTAAACACATTTTCTGCTTTTATAAAAGCAGAAAACTAATTGAGGATTGACACTATAATTTGAGTCTCTGAACTGTTTGCAAAAAGATATACATCGTGCAGAAAAGTAACAAACATTTAAACTAATGTGTGCTGAAGAACTGTTTTGCAGTCTGATGTCTTACTGTGTACAAACTGTTTTGTACAACTTCAGCTAAGAATTTAGCTTCTGTTGCTAATTTTGGTAATTACAAATTTTCATTTTCTATCCACAGCTCTTCATGTCTTTTACTAGGAGGAAACTTGTCAATATAGTTGCCCTTAACTATCCTACAGTGGGGGAGCATGTACAAAACTGATCTTAAGAAGACAGAGCAATTAGTATATGAAGTACCTGCCCAAGAAAGAAAGCAAGAAACACATTTTTATGGATAATCTACAGAAGAAATAACAGTAAAGTCCATTAATAGGTTATTTTTAATCAGTAAAAAGGCACAGCTGCTGAAAGGAGAAAAGGAAAATAATTAGTAGAGAATAAAATTGCAAAGAACATTTTTTTTATTCTTAGAGGAACAAACTACATATATGAACTTACGAAATATTTTAGTGACATGTTTTAACTTCTCTCTAGTGAACTGATATTTCTGCAGTATTAAAAATTTGGCCAGCATTCTGTTAGTAGACTCTGGACTGTTCTGTATTTGTAATTATTTCTGTCTGTAAGGCATGATTTTGCTGCTATTTAACCAGGAATTAACTTGTAGGGAGCTAACAGCATTAAAAAAAAATTCAAGACTATTGTAAAGGGATAAGGCTATTCCAAATATCTGTAGTGTTCCAGCTGCTTGTAACTGTAACTCAAGAGAAAGAAGTTGAACTCCAGCACTATGGTAGTAATACCCAGATGCAGCTGAGGAAAGCATGTTTTATACCAGGCATAGGTGCCAAGTAAATCTGTTGTGGAGTGTTGATGCTGTACAAGCTGCGTTTCTTCAACAAACCATGTGTCACTCGTTTCTAAATGTGCTAATATGGTGTTTATGAGAGGCTACTCTCACTTCATGTGAGGTATGCTCAATATATATCTGGCAGGAAATACTAATATTATAATGAGTTTTTTTTTAGTTGGCAATCTTAAGATAGTTGTGTCAGGACCTTGTTACACTACACATTTCTTTGTATAAATGAGCTTCCTGTATCAGAGATGAAATGACAGGTGCTGTTTGGAGATTTTACAGTGACTTTTGTCTTTACAAATGATAATTTTTAAAAAAAACTTTATAAAATAAAAAAATAATGTCAATGCAATGTTCTTTTGCTGAATGAGGTTTATAATTACGATCTAAAATTTTCTGGTACTGCATCCAATCACAAAGTTATATTTTCCATCATTCTTTGGAATGCTCCCAAGTCCTGCTGTTAAACTTTGGTAATTCTTTGCATTAAAACTGTATAGATGACAGTGTGTACTTGATTTTTTTTTTCTTAAAGGGCTCATTTGTTACTTTTTGAAGTCTCATAGCTTTGCTTTCCTCACTGTTTTTTTTCATTACACATTAATGTGACTGTAGCTAGACCTTCCATCTTGCTTACTACCTACCTTTTCTTAAACAGCAAGAAAATATTGAACCTATTTCTCACTTGTGTTTCAGGGTTTATATTGTATCTCATACAGTGTGTGCCCAAATTGATTGTATTTGGGGACGAGTGACCTTTTTGTACTGCTGTTCAGAATACAGTGAAAAATGCCTGCCCCCAAGACCAATTCATTAATCTTAATTTCTGAGGATCAAGTCTTTGGTGTGGAGGAACACCTTTGTGTTTGTCCAGATGGGAATCTTGGCATGGTTAGCTTCAACGTTTATTCGTACAAAAAAAAAAAAAGATGAAAATATTTTTGAAACTTAGTAGACTTTTGGATTCTCCTGTGAAGATGGACACTCAGCACATCAATAGCAGGTAATTATGTTTTAAAATACCTTATTTAAATATTGTGTAGCAAATACTGAATAATCATGTAATTTTTACATTGTCACTTACTAGATTTTTCTCATTTTTTGGTAGGTATCCAAGTTCCAGTCCTGGATAGGTAAGTATTCTTAACACTTCTTTTAGCAGTGACTTTCACAAAAAAACTAAGCTGAAATTTATTCTTTTTTTTTCTCTGCTCTCCAAATATTTTCTTAGGCTGCTTCTTGTAGATAACTTGATTATGGCTTAGCATGTGCACCTACATGCATAGTAGGACTCCTTATAAATATTACACTTTGTTCATGAACTGAAAAAAAGCTATTCCCATTTTTAATTTTTCCTCCTCAGTTTTCAAAAGCATTTTGTACTTCTTCAGGCAGATTGATGTCAGTAGCCTGTACTAGAAATTAACTTTCTTCTAATACTTGTACAAGGATGTAAGTGCCCAGAAAAGTCTTCTGATGTAATTATGATTGTTTATTTGTGTGTGCATGTGCATAAGTGCTCTGGTTTTAATTCAACTTTCTCCTTTAATTTGCAGCCTTCCAGTCTGGTGTTTTTCTTGCCTCTTCATGACCTCGTGTCTTGAGCAGCCTAGCTGGATCCCCTGGTTCCTGTTTCTTCTTGTTTCAAAATTCTGCTTTCCCCCATTTTAAGTCCCCTACCCTTTTATATTCATATACATACACTTGGCTTTTACTATGTGTTTTGGTCTTCACTGTGTTTTATTTTTCTTTTTTTTTTTTTTTTCTAAGACTTTGGGTTCCGCCCAAGATTTTCCATGTAGCACTGTTCTCCTGGCTTCCCTGCCACAGTGGAATAAGTTTCTCTTATAAAATATCTCAGTCATGCTTTTGAGGTTTTAGGGGCCTGATGGTCCCCATCTAGGTTTCTGTTCTGCTACTTTGTCTTGCTATAAGTAGACATTGGGGAAGAAGATAAGGCTGTATCTTTTGCTACTCTACTTATAAAGCAAGCATATTAACATTTTAAAGAAGCAAGAGGGCTTGTGGATTGTGGGGGGTAAGCAAAGTATATGTGTTCTAGAGGTAAAAAAATGCAAACCACCCCCTCACAACAACAGATCTCGTCTCAGATGTGTTTAGATTCAGGAGATGTTTGTTCTGCCCCTTTCTGTCCTTATTAGGAAATGCAGTTGCATGCTTCCAGGCTAAATGTAGTTCTTCCCTTTTTTTTCCATCTGTCAAGTAATCTCTATTTCTGTTCAATTTTGTATAATTTTGAGGAGACTTTCTGTGCAAGTGCTCAGTTATGGAATCCCTTACATTCCACGCTGTAAGAGAACAACTGCTGAATAGAATGTGTTGTAGACTCATCATAAATATGTTTTGTTTTCTTGTATAAAACACTTCCTTAAAATAATTTTAAAATGTTTGGTTATGAATTAATCTCTTCAGTTATCTGATTGCTCCTTTGCTGACTGATTCTGCAAAAATATTAAGCGTGTGTGTATTTTCATCTTCTCTGGCTCAAAGTGAGTCACGTGAGAAACAATACCAACTTTTTATGTCTTTTGGCGTTCATGTTGCAGTAGTTGTGGATTTCAGTATGTGCAAGTTCAAAGTGACTGTACACTCCAAGTTTAAATTTTTCTTGCTATGGTTCTGTTGTAGTGCAGAAAAGATTAAATATATTAGTTTAACTTTCCATTCAGTTATAAAAAAGGAACATATTAACATAGTACATTAGAAAAATACTTAAATGTAAAGCTGTTATGTCTGAATTTCTAATCATGTAAACCACTTTTTTGCATCATTTTTCCTGTGTGAATCCTTTTTCAGGGGAGTGGGCAGGTGGCTCTGGGGAGAAAATATGCTGTGGTTTTCTTATGCTAATTGAGTAAGGTTTGTCATGGTAACTCATAAGGACATGTCGGTGCATAAAACATAATGGTAAAGCAGATTATGTGAAGTCTTGAAATTAAATATTTTAACCTGAAAAGTAGCATTTGCACAATATATAAGTAGTGAGTTTGATTTTTTTGGAGTTTAGACTATGGGATTGAAGTTCATATCATCATTGTGTGGACTGCTGATATTTTAATGGGAATTCTCATCAGAAGAGACCTCCCTTCATATATGGTTTTATATTTCTTTGTTTTGGTAACAGAACCTATCCAGATAAAACACTGTCCATGGTTCTTAGGCTTAAAACATATGTATATATTTTTAAATAACCATGTTACTGGTATTGCCCAAGATCTTCACAGTGCTGAAGCTTAAAATTGTTCCTCCAAGCTAACTTGGGAATAATTGTGACTTTTCTTTTTTTGTTTTTCAGGGAAATGAGGCAAGCTACCCTTTGGAAATGTGCTCGCACTGTAAGTTTTTTAATTGCTACATTATATTGTTGGAGAGGTTAATCTTATTTGGAGGTCGATATGTACAACTTTCATGTGTGAATTTTCTGAATTTACTGCTTGAAAAGTTATGGAGTTTATATACTAACAAAAAGGATAAAATTAAAAGGTGAAAGATTACCTTTGGAAAAAATATGGCTTTTGGTTTTAGATCGTAAAATTAAAAATCAGTCCATCTTCAAAAATAATCAGTTATAAAGGTTATTAGAATACAAAATAAAATTCTGATAGTTTTGATGTCTGTACAGGGAAGCGTTATAAATGGTAGTTCAACTGGTGGGCCTTTGCGTCAGTGCCAGTTCCTCAGATGTGGAACAGTTTGTGGTGAAGTATGTGCTATGTTAGGAGCGAAGTATGTTGCCTAAACTGTCTTTGTACCCTCAGAGGAAAGAGAGGTTGTGGCTAAAGAGCATTTTTTTTTCCTGTGTATGCTTGCAGCCAGGCATTTAGGTGAGAAGCCACTTGGTGGTTGGTTTTGGCCATGTGAGCATAAAATCAATTGCTCTGTCTCACAGGGTTAGTCTACCCTAACAAACTATTTCTTGCATGAAATTGACCAAAGAAAGGGTTGTCTTGTGAAATGTTCCTGTGGTGTTATGCTAATTGTAGTTAATTTTAACTGCTTTTTTCGTTGAATGTTTTTCTTCAGCACTAAATCATGTGTAGACCTGTGTATGTATGTATGGACTGCTTGATAAAATCCCTCACCTTTGGTATATCAGATCTTGTTTTTGAATAGGATAATAAATTTGTCAAGATAGGCACTGTCTTCTAGGTTGCTTTCACAATGCTAGTCATAACTGCACTCCAGCTCTCCTAAGTCAGATGGTAACATAAAATAGTCATGGAGGAAATTTTTTTCTAGGTATGTTTTTTAGAGAAATGAGACTTTAACTATAGTTGGCAAGTCCTCTGTGCCTAATACAGGTGTCCACATGAGTTACGATTTGAGTCATCAGTTTGTAAACATTTGAGAATCTTACCCACAGCACTGCCTTGCGGTGTTATGCTTTCAGTGTATAATTTGATAAATATGGATATGCAGGTGGAAGTTTAATATTTGGTGAAGACTTTAGTCTTTTTCTGGATCCTATATATCGGTCTTGGGTTACTGCTTCATTGGTCAGATTTTCCTTAGGGACAAGATGCCTTCTGAGGAATTTTTTTTTTTTTTTTTTTAAATCTGGATATGTCTCTGCCAGAGTTGTAAGCAATGTGTTGCCATCCTTAACTTTTGATTTCAGGACAAGATATATTTATTGGTAGCAACTGCCAACCTAAAGGCTTATTACTGAGCTTTTTTTGCCTCTTTTTGTTGCAGAGAAGGAGAAGATTTCTACATTATATTCTGTGGTTAAACAGTATGTTGAGGATATTGTGTCAATCTGACATTTTGCATGTTTAAAGCTTTTTCTGCTTTGATGGCTCTCACAGTAGAGAGAAAGTCAGCTGCTTCTCAGGGCAACCTAATGACATACCTTGGGGAAGATGTAGTTATCACAGACATCCCTTTGCGTTATTGTGCCTAATCAATGGAATAATTCCACTGTGTTTAAAGATTCTGCATGCCTGAATATCCTGAAAGAGCAGGATTTGTTTGGGGCACAGCTGTTTTACTGTAGAGTGTCTGTGAATAAGTCCGCTAAGTAGGTATTCACCTTGTTCTTCAAATGTTAAATGTTCACTTCAGTGTAGTTGTCACTGACAGGACAAAAGCTTTTCCGGACAAGACCAGACAATGTTTTTGAAGATCATTTGATAAGGATTTTTGAATGGTTAGACTTTTGAGAGAGGGTCAGTTAATGAAAATACATTTATGCTGTCTGCATGGTGGCATTGGGTCGTAACCTCTGCCTGGCATTGCAGTTGCTATTTTGGTATCTCGTTTTATAATTATTTTGTTTTAAAGTTGGCAGTTACAGGAGGCAAATTTGGGATACTATGTAGACGATGCACACCATTAAGTAGTCAAGAATATTCTTTTTACCCTTCATTTTAGAACATCAGTTCTTTTCAGTGGGTGAATTAGTGTTGCTAGATTCCTTAAAACAGTATGGTTTCGTTTCTCAGCTGTGCTGCATCTGAGAAATTACTGAAAATATAGTGCTGTTTCACATGGGGAAAATTTGATGTCAGCCAAGCCATGTCAAATTATCCATAAGAAAATTTTATCATAGCAAAAAGCTGTGAAGAAAATGGTTTTATAGTATAGTAAACTGTATTTTGTAGTATAGTACTTCATAGTAGAAAATAGTTTATAATACTATAGCAATATTTTATAGTATGTTTTGTTTTTAGGGTAAGGAGACTAGTATCTCTTTTCTGACTTAAATTGTAATTGACACATCTGAAGTCATGAAAAGGATTAGGCCAGCTGCCTGTAAGCATATACAAGACAAGTGGTTGAATGTGTTCTCAAGGGCGTCATCTTTTTGAAATCTGATCTCCAAGACCGAAATGGCTGTCTTGATTGCTACTCTGAAACATTATATTTGTGAATCAGACAAGACTGTAGATAGAGGTGAGAGCTTTTACTGAAGGTCTGTTTTTATTTTGAGATCTCCGCAATCTGTTCTAATGGAGAAAAAAATAATCTTTTTAACCTGGAAACATTGAAAATAAATTTCAGAACATGTTTTATTTACAAAAGTCTTTTTTCTAATACCTTAGGAATATTCCTGTTTTAATGATCTCATCTTTGAAAGATATGTGGAAACTAGGCTCTCTGCAACCATGCTTTTTGGTCTGTTTTTTGTTTGTTGTAACTCTGAGCCAGTGTTCTAAGAGAATCTGAAAAGCCAACCTTTTCAATACAGGTTTAAACATTTAGGTAAACACCTAGATTTCAGAAGTGCCCAGCACCTCTTTCCTGAGAGATGTACAACTTTTCTAAGGTTTGTATACTTTGCAGATGCCTCTGTGAGCGTTGTGTACTCTGCAGCAATCAATGTACAGTGCTTCTGAATGCATAAGCAATTATCCTGTTAAAATATCACTGAATGTAGTGGATTTCCAAGAGATCTGAATTTTTAAGGCACTCTTTACTTTTGACTGTTACAATAATAGCAAACTAGCAGTGGACCTTTAAGTTCACTAGAAAAAATACCATCAATACAAATTGTCTGAAATTACTTCTTTTCAACATAGAATACACTGCACTCCAGAAATTTGCTTTTAATGAAGCTTTTTGAGTTGCCCCTTGGTGATTTTTACAATACTGTATGAGCATCAGTTATGTGAGAGACAGCTTGATACAAACAATTGTTGTAAAACATCATGGATCGTCCCTCTGCTCTTCTGTGTTGGGGGAAAGGAGGAGGGTACTCAGTAATACATATCAACATATTAGAGAGCATTCATCTGAAAGATAAACTCCTGTACTAAAATGGGAGCCACACAGGACATTTGCATGTGGTTTATTGGAAGCATGGAGTTCTTGCATTTTAACCTGATTCATCACATTTTTACATGTATGCAAATGAATTCAAGATGGACAGCAGGTATTGTTGGTTCTAGAATTTTAATACTTGAGAGGAATCTCTTGAAAATACTGATAGTTATTTAACAAAAAATCCTTAATACTGGAACTGCTTAAAAAACCTCACCTTATTGTGTTAGTTACAAGGTGAATGAAATAAATAATTCTGTGTGCTGTAAAACAGTGAATAATTTGATGTTTCTGCTGGGCTATCAGCAAAGCCTTTTAAAGAAGAACGTTTAACAGGTATTATTTCTTGCCAGTTAGTAAGTTTGTAAGCTGTGTTATCAGTGCCAAGCTGATGAGATCCTTTCTGATTCTGCTGAAAAGCATAGGAAGCACAGCACTTCATGTCAACTGGTGAGCAAAGCACAAAAAAGGCTATCTTGAGTTTGAGGTTAGAGGAACGCTCACTGTGGCCAGAGCTCAAGGAAGCTCAGACCGCTGTGATGAGTCATAGGCAAACTCTGCCTCAAATGCTATAAACAAAGCTTGATCCTCCTTATGTTGCTCAGTGATGTTATCACCCTGTTTACACTATTGTGGACTTGGACCTCCTCAGATTTCCTAGGTTTGATCTCTATCCTGGTCTTCTGAGCTTGTCTTGTAAAATTCTGTCTTCTACTGCCACCATCAGTCCTTCCAGCTCAGAAAACTTCACTGTATCTGAATGATCTTGTGCCTTGTATTTACAGTATAGCTTCAGGATGTTTATGTGGGCACTAGGTTGTCTGTAAGGAGCCTTCAGAGAAAAAGGAAAGAAGTATTTTGTTCAGGCTCTGAAAATTTAATTCAGTAAATTCAGTACTGTGTTCTTCAGTGATAGCTGTGTGAAATTTTAAGGTCAGTCTGTTGCTAAGTACTGAGGAAGAAGCGGTCTTGTGAAAAAGGGCACATCTGTCAGAGATGAGGACATAGCATAGATGCGTTTGGGGAGGAAATCTGAACAAAAAATGACTAGGATATAACTGAAAGCTGCTCTTATACATAAATGTATGCTGTTTTCATTTAAAAAATCTAAATCAAATAAAACAAACCCCAAAACCCAGAAAACTTACATGGTTTTTCGTTCAGGCAGAAAGTCAGCAAAATTATGACTGTGAACCAAAGAAAAAATGAATAGACAAAAACTATGCAAATTTAAGGCTTCTTCTGTAATATTCTTCCTTGTTTTACATTCTTTTTAAAAAGTTATTTTATGAAGACAAAGATGTTACTGAAATACGAATTTTTTAAAGTGTATAAGCTTTTTAAATTTCAGTTTGTGGAAAGGTTTTTAAAGGTAGGTGAGGTGCTTGCAATATATTTAAGGAAAAAATAATGGAATTGTTCTGATACGAAATCCTCATACAGTCAGTTATGGAACACTGATCTGCAGATGTTGTGTTTATCCATATATGTTAATTACGATCAGAGGCTTTTATGCTCATGAACTACTAAGGAAATCACAGAATCACAGAGCGTTAGAGATTGGAAGGGACCTCGAAAGATCATCTAGTCCAATCCCCCTGCCGGAGCAGGAACACCTAGATCAGATCACACAGGAACGCATCCAGGCGGGCTTTGAATGTCTCCAGAGAAGGAGACTCCACAACCTCTCTGGGCAGCCTGTTCCAGTACTCTGTCACCCTCACCGTGAAGAAGTTTTTTCTCATATTCAAGTGGAACCTCCTGTGTTCCAGCTTGAACCCATTGCCCCTTGTCCTATCACTAGATGTCACAGAGAAGAGCCTGGCTCCATCCTCCTGACACTCACCCTTTACATATTTATAAACATTGATTAGGTCACCCCTCAGTCTCCTCTTTTCCAGGCTAAAGAGACCCAGCTCCCTCAGCCTTTCCTCATAAGGGAGATGCTCCATTCCCTTCATCATCTTTGGGGCTCTGCACTGTTTAGTTGTTTTAAAGTGAATTTTTTTTGGTTTTTTTAAAGAAATAATGTATGTACCTTTTATTGTTCTTGTTTTTTTCCAGTGTGAAATAGTTGTAGATGATCTTTAAAGTCCCTTCCAACCCAAACCATTCTATGATTCTAATAGAAACCCTCACAGAATTTGATTTCAGGGTTTCCCGGCTTGAGTTCTAGATCCAATTGCAAACTTCTGATTTCAAAAACAGATAATTCGTGAGGGATTTTTTTTAACAAAACAATGGCCAGTTACTTGAAATTTATTGCGATTTCTGAGTTCAGCTAAGGAAGCAGGAGAGTTGTGGTTGGACCAGGACATCATTTTAAACATGACTGATAAAAGTTGAGAGAGACTCATGGCTGTAAAAGTCCTTATATACGTTATTGTAGTATAGGTATAAATTATGTCTGTTCATTCATTTTACGGTGAAAATGTGTTTACATTGTAGTGTGACAAGCCACCCTTAATGGTGTTTTGCTTTTTCAAATGCTTATGCTGTAAGGATTTATTTGAGGATATTAACTTGTTCTATGTGAGTTGCAAATCTGGAGTAGAGCTTGCAGTAAAAATGAGGTTCCCGTGTTAACAGCTTGCCAAAGGGGTAGCTTTGCATTAAGCTGTAGTGGGTCCAATAGCTTTTCTGGCAGCAGGGCAGGGAGTGAGGGTAGGTAGCACCTACCATTTCAGAGACTAACTCCATTTACAGTTTTAAGATTTTGAGGAAAAATGGAAAACAATGAGTTTCTGTGGATAGAAACAACAGTTGACAAATACCGTCAGCATATTGGTGAAAAGAAGCATTTTCTGTTGGCAGAACTCATAAGCAACTATTTGGGCTAATTGCCAGTGGAGGTCTGCATTGCCATTCTCTTTTAATGCTGTCATCTTTTGGTGTCGTGATTACGTTCTCCATATAGCTTATCATATGGTGATCATTCCTTTCACGTGATCCAGAGGGGTTGCTGTGTAGCTATGCCGACAGTAATGTGCTCCTGATGCTGTGGTGCGATGTCGTGCTGTTAAGGGCACACCTTTAGTCATGTTCTAGGCTTCCGCATAAACTGGTGGGAAAAAAAAAGTGGCTTTATTGCACTTGAGAGCCTAATTAGTTGAAATGCCAAATTACATACTGGAAAATGAGGAAACTACTTTAAGCCTCTGCAAATGCTGTTTAGCCTTGTTTTTATAGCCCTAGAGGCAGAATCAGATCTATCACTTGCTGGCACAGCAAAGGGAAGATTCTGGGTGTATCGACGCTTTTTTTGCCTTCTACCTCTGTAGTTGCAAGCAGTTACCAAGACAAACTGCAGAATGTCAGAATTGACTATTCAGGTAAAATAAGTCTTGTGCTTCTGGACTTTTAGCATGCTGTCTCCCTTTCATTCCGAAATACCACAGTTGTGTGTATCTCTGGATATGTGTCTAGTTTTTAGACAAGGATATCAAGAAATGGTGGTGGAAGCTTGTTACTGCTTTGGTAGAGGATCAGGTCTCTGAATCGACTACAATTTCCAAAGAGAAAGCTCTGCATGTAGGCTGACCTTAAGTATCGGAAAGACTAAGGACTGTTTGTTTTTATGCTGCACTTCTGCAAAAGGCTAAGAAGGTATTAATGTGATGTAAAGTGGATCAGGTGGCATGTATCTATGTGCCTTGTAGAAGTTAAGAAACAATTTATTTTACTATTGAAGCAAACACATTAAATAGAGCTAAGAAATATTGAGGAGACTGTTCATGTTAGGAAAGAAATTGGTATGGGGAGTTAGCTTCCGGTTCTGAAAGATATGTTTGCTGTGGTTTGCTGTATGCTGGCTACTTTATAGGACTTCCTAAGTACCTCAGTTTCTCCTTGGTAGCCATAGTGAGCAATTTGTGAACTAACTTTTGTCTTGTAAATCAAGCTGCTGGTAGGGAATTTTCAGGTTGTTACAGGGAACATTTTCCAAGCTTTTTTAGTGGTGCTTATGGATTTACAGATTTAACCTATACCTGTCAAAATCAGAGGTGTAAAGTAGAGTGGTAGGTATGTGCTTTTCTTGAGATTCTCTTCAAATTTGAAGAGGGTAGATGAAGTGGTACTACTGCAGAACCTGAATCTGTTTCAATTTCTAGGACAAAATAGATGTATGCAGGTCATGGCTACAGGTATGTCTATTTCCTGATTGAGATGGAGGAAAAAAAAAATCTTAGATCTGTCTGGGTGATGTTTTGAGTAGGTGAGTGATGAGTGGTGAACAGTGAGGCTGTGTTAACGTGTTTAACTTAGCATGTATCTCAGGACATCCCGTATGTTTGGTGTGCTTAAGAAGCACTAGTTTTGCTAATACACTTACTAATATAACTGACTTTCTAACTCACTGTGTTAGTCTAGTGTAAGCATAATGCTAGCTCCTTCAAAAAAAACTCAATCTCTTCTTTAATTTCTTCATACCTGGTATTTGCAAGAGCTCTCTGACTAAGAACTAGCTAAGCATCCTCAATCCTTAAAAATGTTGTGTCAGCCTGTGGTATTCGGTGAGTCAAGGCTGTGTATTATGGCTGGTGCAGGGAGGAAAAAAGGTAAGTTTTATTTAACATAAAATGAAAAGGCTTGTGTTTGTCTTCAGAATTTGACGCTATCTTTATAATCTTCTATGAGAGTATTTCATAGTTGAAACAAAGTAGAAGAAATTCTGGTAGGAAAGCAATGAAGAAATGTGCATTGTGTTTAACTGGCAAAGGGTTTACTGAAACATTTCTGAAAATACATGTGGCTTTTTTTTTTTCCTTTCAGTTGATGCTGATGAGATAAAACGACTAGGAAAGAGATTTAAAAAGCTTGATTTGGACAACTCTGGTTCTTTGAGCGTGGAAGAGTTCATGTCTTTACCTGAATTGCAACAGAACCCATTAGTACAACGGGTAATAGATATATTTGACACAGATGGAAATGGAGAAGTGGACTTCAAAGGTAAGACACAGTGAAAAGTGGTGGTATTTTATTGGAATTCCTGGAGCCTTAGAATTCAAATTTTGCTTCATCTGAGAAAGGAAGGATGAAAACTTGTTAATCAAAAAAAGGTTCTAATTCCTAGTGAAACTGAATACCAGTAAAACTAGTTTCTGTGGTACGGCAATGCATTCCTGAAATAAATGCTTAAAAGAGCAGATTGTTTAGTAATACCTTTCCAGGTCATACCGATTTAGGACTACTTGTTTAAGTATCTCTTGAAGTACACCAATTCAGACTTTCAATTGTGGTGCTATCAGAAGTATATTTTTCAGCTGAAGAGACTGAAAAACAGTGGGGTGGATTGTGTAAGTTGTGTGTCTGTGCATAAGTTGTATTTATCCAAATGGTATGAGATCTCTCTTTTGTAGTATTTTGAAAATAGTTTTTTAAATTGTGAAAATGTTCCAAATTTTTCTGTTGATGCTTCTTTTACAGGATTTTTTTTATGATCTTAGGTAGACACTTCAAAAGAAATTTTTAGTACATGCCTCAAAATTTTTTGACTCTTAAATATTCATGATTGAAAGGACCAGCAGGTTAAAAATCTTCATTACTAGTTGATGTTAAAACAGTCTCTGACCCTTAGAAGTAGTAATATCTGTAACTTCTGCTCAAGCTAATACTTATTATTTCATATTGCTCATGACTAGAAAAGGTTAACCAGTTTTTCTTTAAGTTTTTTTTTTAGCTGGATAAATTTATTAAATCTCATTTGTATTGACAGGCTGACATTTAAAATAAAACATTAACATACAAAAGCTGTTAACTTTTACAAAACCCTTTAAACTTCTGTAGGGAGAACTACAATGTAACTGGAACGTTGAGTTTTTGAGACTTTCTTGCTATCAGTTTCCAAAGCGTACGTAACTGTCCAAAATTCCCTTGTGAACAATAGGCAGTGATGAAAGATGGAGGTATATTGTGTGTGACATTGAGCTGTGATTAATATAATTACCAAGAGCTGTTCCTCTTGGGTGGGAACAGGAAGTTGTCAGAATCAATTCTGTATAATAAAATTATGCTGCTGCAGTAGGTGGCAATGAATTCTATTGTTGTTGTCTGTCCAAGTTTGATTCATTTAATTTCTTTATTTCTGTCTCAGAGGGAAGCTCAAAGAAAAAGTTTCAAACTGAAAGAGGGTAGGCTCTGATTAGATATAAGGAGGAAATTTTTTCCTGTGAGGGTGGTGAGGCACTGGCACAGGTTGCCCAGGGAAGCTGTGGATGCCCCATCCCTGGAGGTGTTCAAGGCCAGGCTGGATGAGGCTTTGAGCAACCTGGTCTAGTGGAGGGTGTCCCTGCCCATGGCAGGGGGGTTGAATCTCTAAGGTCCCTTCCAACCCAAACCATTCGGTGGTTCTATAAAAAAGAAAATTACTAGTGTGAGGAAACTTGCATTATTTTATTGAAAGACCTAGCATTTAAGATTAATCTTAAAGCATAATGGTTAAAAAAAAAATCAGTCAAGCATTTCATTGATAAATCATATAGGAATTGTTGATTTAATGTCACAAAACTTGTTGAAACTGTAGTACGGCTTTCAGCATAATGCTATATTGCTCTTCCTCTGTATTCTTTCTGTACCACAGTTTAGCTTGCAGTTTTGCACTCTTAATAAGTCTAGTTACTGGATCTCATCCAGACATGTCACATCCCGGGGTTTTATTTTTTTGGCAACTCAAGAGTTTGCACCTGGGATAATGACTTAATTCTTAAACAATATTAGTTCTCTTTTTACTGTATTTCTCATAGGAAAAAAAAAGGGTTTTTTAGGAATTTGGTTTAGAGTAGTTTTCGGCTTTAATGTAATTCTTGCTTTGAGAAACCAGTCTTGAGCTATACAATTAGAATCCCCACTGCAGCAGCTTTCGTAGAGATCTTGATGGATTTTTGTGAAAGTCTAGGAACAAAATTATTTTAATACTGGTGTTGAACAAGTCTGTTCAGTGAGCGCAGTATTGGATTTGGAGTACTTCCCACTAAAGAACACTGGAGTATCAAAGTATGTAGACACTTAAGTGTCACAAGGTGGGCTACATTTTAAAGGTTTTAGGGTAATTTAGATTCTTACTCAGAAATTTTTAGGAAGTGTAATGATTATTTCCTTCGTTTATTAAAAAAAATACACTTTTTTTGCTAAATGTTTTCTTGTGTTCTTTAGAATTTATAGAAGGTGTCTCCCAATTCAGTGTCAAAGGAGATAAGGAACAGAAGTTGAGGTGTAAGTATTTTGATTTTTCCTTAACAAATATATTTTTGAGGATCAAAAAATTGTTTTGTTAGTTAATCTTGAGGAATCAGCAAATCCAGGTTCTTTTAAAAGTGGGAAATCATTAAGATTGTAAGCTTTTTGCATACACTGTCATTTGTATGAAGAATTTGCCAGCACTCTTTTCTGCGGGGCAGGTTTGAGGAGGTTGTCTTCTGAGTATCTTCAGTTGCTTCCTGGTTAAAAAAAAAATCATTTAAGAATATTTACTTTACAGATCTGTGTAGCAATGTCCTTTGCTTTATGGGGGCATTAAAATAACATTTTATTTTTTGGTACTACAGTAGAACAGCACTAAATTCTTGTTTGAGAACTGCATCTCAGGAACACAACATGACCCAAGCTTTTGGAGTGGGGAAGGGATAGGTCACTCATGGATGTAGCTTTCAATAACTAAGACTGAAATGTTTAAAAACAAAGTCAGTCTTAATGCCAAATTGTTTGCAACAAAGTAACCAGGTAGAATTTTGAATCATCTGTTCCCTGAAGGTTGTAATTTTTTCTGCTTGCAAATGAATTGCTACCTGGGTACTTTACTTTTTGCAGTTTTTTATAGAGTTCTCTTACTGCTGGTGTTAAAACAATTCCAATTGACATTTCTAAAGTGAGTTGTTCTCTTTTAAATGTGATTAATTCTATTGTTTCTGATGTTTCATGTTTTCAGAATGAAATGGAAAGGCTGTCAGAAATCTCACTTAAATGTAGTATTTTTCTCAGTTTGTGCAGGCTTGTGTCATCACTTATTATTAATGCAAAGCACATGAATGTATATGGCTCTTCTCCAACCACATTTGTTACTGAAAGTTTTACATATAATATATATTTTACTTCTGCAGTTGCTTTTCGCATTTATGATATGGACAAAGATGGTTATATCTCAAATGGAGAGCTCTTCCAGGTGCTGAAGATGATGGTTGGGAACAATCTCAAAGACACTCAGTTACAGCAAATTGTAGATAAAACCATAATTAATGCAGATAAGGATGGTGATGGAAGAATATCCTTTGAAGAATTCTGTGCTGTAAGTAACCTCTAAAGAAAACTTTGATAATTTGGAATGTAAAAAAAAAAGAGGAAAAATAGTAAACAGTATAAAGGGTAAGATTATAAAAGCAGAGTGTTTCTTCTGATCTGGCAACAGTCACTGTTTGGCCCAGATTTATTATAGATGGCGTTTTGTCTTATGGCTTCCAGTGGAGCAATGTGTCTTGTGGCCTACGAAGAAGTCATTAATCAGTTCCCTCCAGATGCAGACTCTCCCATTGAATCTAGCATGCCTGAAGAAGGTTGCTTTGTTCAGAGCACAGCAACTTTTACAAAATAATTTGTATGTCATTTTATGATATACTAAACACAAGACCAGTTGTAATTATTTTTGTACATAGACAGAAATGCTAGCTTGACACAAAGACACATATTGGATTTCAGTCTCTATGCTGGTAGAATATAGCAGCTTTAAAGATGAGTTGCGAGTGACTGGCTTGTTGTAGGAGGCTGGTTTTCCCTATTTTCAACTGTTATGTGTGATTAAAAAAGAAACAGTGCGTTGGGTTGTTTTAAATGTCTCTAGCTGCTTAATTGAATATACTGAGTGAAAAAAAACTGTGGTGGGCAGGCATGTATAGTCTGCTAGGGGGTGGGGATGCTTCATACCATCTGAAAGCTGTAAAAACCAGAGTGTGTCATTGCAGTTCTCTCTTTCAAAAAGTGTCACTATCTGGGGTGGTGCCTGGAGAGGAGAGGTGTGTTCCATGGAGGTGAACTTTAGGTTAATCTCCCAATCTCTAAACTAGCTGTCTGCTCCAAACCACCCTTTAGAAAGGTTTATCTTTGCAGTGTGGAGAGAGACTGGGGAGATTATCACCAGCTGCAGAAGGGGGATTTTACAAAGCCCAGGGTAGTGGGATTTGTGTCAGTTACAGGGAGAGTAACCCCTCAAGTGCTGCTCTTGAAAAAGAACAAACAGTTGAAAGGTGCATTTTAAAAACTCTGGATTTTACTGAGCAGAATGCTTGAAAGTAGCACTTGAGACTTGAAATGGTTGATTTTCAGCTATGTTGTGTATTTATTTAATTAGTTGACAGCAAGTTTTAAATTCTTTCTCTCTTTAAAAAAAAGTAAAAAAGTAAATGATGCATTGAAATGTGAACATTTGAAAATCACAATATTGAGTGTTTACATATTAATTTTAAATGGCGTATTAATGAACGTACACCTGGGTAGCACAGTTTTGAGTCGATAGGCACTCAAGTGTTGCTTTTGTTTCCTTCTCTTTGAATTTACGACTTCAGTTCAAACATAACTTGTTCATACTCATTATTAGTGCAGGTTCAAAAAAAGAAAAAAATCTACCCTCCCCCAAACTATTAAAGCAAAAAAGGTTCTATTGTCTGCATATTTTTTTCGTAGAGTTTATTTATTTTCATAGCATCATGTGGAAATGTGTGCTCATCTGTAAAGAACTCAGAATAAGCTGCAGCCTGCAAACACTTTGATTAGTGAAATACCTGTTCGTTTCTTGCACTAGGCTGTTGTCTTCCAGCTGTCCATTGAATATGTTGCCTTTTCTTTTCTTTGTCCTTGGGCTTCTGCCCAGACTTCCTGTCTTGTACTACCTGTTTGCTTTTCTTCTTCTTTTCTTTTAAGCTCTTCAGGTTTGTAGAGCTCCTGACAAGACACCTTTTTTTTCCTACAATCCGTTATCCTCTTGTTCTTGCATTCTGCCTTCTTTGAATTTTGTGCCGTCTACAAAAAATAGGTTTTCTCTGTGACATTTGGCCATACCATTTGGCCTCTGAATCTTATTTCTGCGTTAGAAGAAGTTCCTCTGATATTGCACCTTTCTTCCTTTCTCTGTGCATGAATCGTACACCTCTGAACGCTGGTAATTCTTTTCTAGGTGCATGCAGTTCTGTCAGAAATGCTGTTGCCTTTCTTAAGGCTCTTTGCTTCTCATATAAAGACGCACAGTTTTACAGGGTGTTTTAGAAGTAAAGTTAGCATTTCATTTAACATGCGGAAACTGAATACAAGGTTAGAATGTGCAGATGGGGAGGAAAGCCAAAATGGTGTAATTCATACTTGTTTTCAGGCCCTTGAATGTGTAAATTGTATGAACATAATTAGCTTGGGTAATACATAATTCATTCCTGTATCTCCCAGTTTCTGTGAAATGTAAATTAGTTTGGAGAGGCCAGGGAAGTACTGTAATTACGATTGACCTGAATGTATCTTCTGAATAAAGTGTGGTTTCTTGTATGTTGCTTTCAGTTATCACCTATTTCTGACCACTTATTTTTTTCTCCTAGGTTGTAGGAGGCCTAGATATCCACAAAAAGATGGTTGTAGATGTGTGACTCTCTAGGGCACCACCCAACACTTTTGCTTTCTTCTCCATCTCTGAAGATCTGCTCAAGATGTCCAGCAATGCTCTCTGTGTATTTAAATGGAAGTATTTTCTCTGTGAAGCCACATTTTCCAACATGAGCCTCATGAAGCCAACTAAGTGTTATTGAACTTTTATTCTCTCAATAACTCAGTGTAGCACTTTAAAGTCTGAAGGACAGCAAAGATGGAAAGAGCATATCAGTGTGGTGGAGAAAGGGAAGGGGTTGGCTTTTTAATTTATTTTTCTTCATCTTTTATAACAAGGAAATATCTATCTATATATATGTGTGTGTGTATTTATATATAGATATATATGTAGCTTTCTATATGTAGTAGCTAGGTGGGCTTTAATTTAATATACTTGATTCAGAAACAAAACTTAGAGTACAAAGTGCCAAGCAGAATATTAACAGTTCAATATATGGATATACATCCTTACTTTTATTTCACACAGTTTTATATATATAGTAGAAGAATGTAAAATTTTAACTGGGTGTTAGGTCAGCTCCTTTTCTTTTCCTGTGACTGTTCAGATGTTTCTATATATTGACTGGCTGACAAAGCATTGCTTATTAATTCACCTTAATTACATTTTTTTTTTTTGTAACACAGGAGACTAAGTTTATTTATACCTGTTAATATATTACCAGGGACTGTGTCTCTTTGCTAAATAACTTAGTACAGTTCTACTTAATATGAGAATGTAGTTTAATGCTACTGCCAAGAACTAGCCCTCGTGTGCATGTAGTAACTGCAAAATGCTTTTGATGGCTGTTAGATTTCATCACCTAGGAACTGGGAGCAGTTACAGCTGTCATGAAGTTAAGGCAAATCTGCTGTTCTGGACTCATTTTAGATACAGCTGCTCATGGTGTTACATGCATTCACAATTTTCTCTTGTGCTTTGCTTAATGAAATTAGGATCGACATAACTCTGCAGGATTCCCATCTACTTATTTTATACAGTACTTAGATTAGAAAATGTTCTTGCCATTTAAATTCTGTTATTTCAACCATGATTGTTTCCCCTCTGCATTTAAAGAATATTACAGGTAGCATAAATAACTGGTAATATTTGATATATATATATATATGTATATAGGATTCATATGGGGGGGAAATCTTGTTAACCTATGCCATAGAGGAGGAAAACTTCACACTATCTAAATTTATACCTCTTGCGGTTCTCCAGTCTTTTGCCTGGAGAATTTTTTCTTTTCTAGATTTGTCCATATCATAATTTGTAACAGATGGTAACTTGATATATTTGTGTGATATAAAAGTAGCGAGCCATGTTTTACAACTTTATATCATCCCTTCCCTTTTCTGCAATGGTACTATTGGCTGGAAGAAAAACATTTGCTAGATTTTTTTAGGACAGTACATCTTTCCTGTATAGTAGTTTTTCTATTTAAAAAATTGTTTTATAATCAGCAGTGGGAAGTGCAGGTTGTCTGAACGTACTCCAGTCGAGCACCTGTCTGCCATAGCTGTTCCTTCAACTGAGTGCTGCACGTCATGGGCTCTGTCTGTGAGAGAGAAATCCAGGTGCTTGGTGTCCTTGCATGACATGAAGTTTTGCATGTAGATCGATTTGAAATGTTCCTCTTGTTTACATAATTTGCATAATTTAAGATATAATGTTGCCAAACTTTGGTAAATGTTAATGTTCAAAACAAAAATCTCCACTACATATAATTTTTCTTCCTCTGGATCAGTACGTGGCTTATAATCCCAGCCAGTGGTTGTATCTGTTCCAGTGTCAACTGCCATGTGCTCTGCTTCAAGGGGGAACTAGTCTTTTGTGAATTTTTTGTACATAAGTATTTGTTACAAACATTTTAGCAAATGCTTTTGATTTCTCTTACTTGCTTGTGCATATCTTGGCTGGCATTATAGAAATTAGTGCTAATGTTATTTCCTTAGGGGGACTCGAAGGGGAGGGATGAGGGGGTTTTTTTTAGTTTGTGTGGAGAAAAATGGTTTATGTTGAATGTTTAGTTTTTCCTCTGCATGCTACATCTTATGTTGTGGGAACTGTAAGAACCTTCATACTATATGATTACAAAAATAAAATATTTGAACCTTGGCTTCAGTACTTACCCAGGCCTTTCCTGTTCACCTTCAGGCAGCTCTGCACCCTGCTCTAAAGAAAATAAAGCTTGCTGTTCATAGTTTTTGTTCCCTCTTCGATTATAAAGATTTATTGAAAAACTCTACAGGGTGCAGACAGTCCTCTGAATACTTCCAGGCTTCATTTCAGTGTTTCAAGACCACTTGAATATTTTTTTTTTCTTAAAGGCACATCTGGTTCTCTTTGTAAAATGTCCAAATTGGATAAAATATCTTGTTTAAATCCTACTAAATTCAGAATGACTGTGGTAAGTAGTAGGTGGTTTTAAAAAACCAAAAAGATCTCTAACCTCAATATAGGTGGAGAATGAAAGGCAGCTTCTTTCTCAATGAGAGGTCTGAGACCTCTGCTGGTGCAAACAATCCTCCCTGTAGCAGGTATGTCGTTCACAGAAGCAGCACAGAAGCAGTTTGCTGTTGTTCTAGATGGTGCAATTGTTTGGGCTTTCTGTCTGCTGCCATCTCCCTTTCTACCCCTTTTAGTGTCAGTATGCACCTGCTTTGGGATAAAGATTAGATTACTTTTGTGTGTCCTTACCTTGCTCTCCCCTTATCTTTCAAGCTAATAAATGATGTAAGAAACCATTGAACAGAAAATGTGCTAACCAGGTCAGCACACTGTTTTGCCTTGAGGTGCTGAAAATGGACACACTCTCCCCTCTATAGCTCAGCCTGCTGAGAGCTGTACATGTAGGTAATTCAGCAAGTCTTAAATCTCTTAGCAACTGAAGGCTTGAATGAATTTGGCTATAGTAATCATCCCATGCTATAAAGTGCTGCACTGGAAACTGACATTGAGAAAAATGCTTACTCAATTTGCTAGTGTTTTTGATAATTTCATTTCAGTTTTTGTTTTCATTCACAAACCTCAACTGAATTATTTTGCAAGAGACTTCGTAACAAGTTTGGCTAGCAGGGTCAGGAGAAAGGGGCCCACATTTAAGTCAAATTGGGACTCTGGCTAGGCTTTTGTCATCTTTCCCCCTACTCTGTTGCATGCACAGAGCATTTTAAGGAGACCCAGCACTTTACAGTTGTTTGTGCTCTGGTACACTTGGCAAGTACTTCTGGAAGCTCTTAGCTTCACTAGGCTGCCTTTACAGATCATTTGTGAGAGATTTAAAAAAAAAAAATCTATATAGGTCCAGATTCTAGGATTAAGTTCAAATATACTATCTGCCTCTTATTGTCTTCATTTTTGTGAGATACATTGTCCCACCAGTAGCAGCAACTCGTTGGGCAGCCAGCCACTGAACATTCCAGCTGACTCTTTTTCCAGGAACATACTGATCCATGATGTGTGGTTAGGAACACTTAACTACCCTGATTCCTTTAGGCTCAAAACATTAAACTCAAAGGCTTTCTTAAGTCCTGACAGCAGTGTCTTAATACTTTGATGTTCAGAAAGTCAGTAATGAAGCATGTTCTTATCTGAGGATAAGTTTAAGTAAAAGCAGGGACCTGCACTTGTGATACAGACAAAACCAACTTAAAATCACTTTTAATGACTCTACACAAATATTAAGTATGTTCAAATCAGCATGGCTGAAGGAAAGTACGCTCTGCAAACAGTCCTGGTTTTCTTCTGGGCTTCCAAATCAAGCACAAGACTGAGTGCTTCTGTAGCTCTAGGCATCTTGTGCATACAGAAACCGCAACTCTCAGCCCCAGTCCTTGGTGCTGCAGCTCAGAATCGTTCAGCTGCTCTGCTGGCCACTGCCCGAATATTGCCATAAACTTTTGATGGAGGACTTCCTGCAGCAGAAAGCACAAATTCAATCAGCAAATGAGATAATGTGCGTCATAGAAACACGTTTTGCTCTCATGTTCATTAAAAGTGGAGAAATAAGTCCCTGGGTGGGAAGGATGGCCAAGGTTAGCGACCCTATTAGTGTAAGCACAGAGGTAAGCTGCTGGTGTGGGCTACTCCCTTTGGCCTTCCAGACAGTACATTCAAAATAGCCCCTCAGGGAATGCTGCAGCTAAAGCAAGAAGCAGGAAGTCTTCCTTCTGCACCATGGAGAGGGGTTTGAAGATAGAAACCAAGCCCTGGGCTCCTTGCTTCTTCCCCAAACCCTTCTCTTATGGGGGCACCAAGACAACTCCCAGGAAGCCACCTGCTCCAAACACAGGTGTGAACACACCAGGGAAGAAGGTAAGACCCACAGAAAGCAGATTCTCAAACTGCAACATCTATTTATATGTAATTGAGAACATTAGATAACAGGATTTACCTAAAATTAGATTGCAAATTGCTGTTCGTGCCATTTTAATGTTCTGAAAAGATCCCAAAATATGAATTTTCCTGTAAAAAGCAAAGTCGCATTAGTTAATGGAAAAAGACTCTGTGATTACATAGTTACTAGAGAGTTGGAGATTAGAGATGAACATGGACTTTCAGATCAAGAAACTAGTTCCTTTTCTAGACTTGTAATTAAAAAAACCCTCAAAACCAGAAAACCTACAACATAAAACCTGTGCTCTTCTAAATACTTTTTAAAATAGATTGTACAATTTGCAAATTTAACAGTGTAGCAGCTTTACAAGTAAAACGTTGCAGGATTGGTGGGTTCATCTTTGATTATTCCTAAAAAGGAATTCTTATGCTGTGAGGAATTAGTGAATTCTAGGTGTGCAGGTAACATCATCATTGTTCTCATAACGAAAGGTCAAACAAATACTCAAGTAGTTAGAGTTCATTAAAAATAACACTTAAATAATTTGTCTTACTACTGTTCTACAAATGTTCCAGAAAATTCATGTTATCTTTGTCCTGGAAGAGGACATGGATTAGTTTAGGGATTGCGCTCTGCCTAGAAGGAAGGAAGTCAATACTTACGCATCAGCAAGAACTATTCGTGTCCTGGTTACGTTTTCTATAGTGAATTTTGTTTTTCCACCTTTCCCTGCTATTCTGCCTATTGCTCTTGACAGATGATCTCCTTTCAGAGGTTTGACTAAAATGAGAATAACATGCTCAGTATAACAGCAGTGGTGTCTATTTCTGTAATGCTCCCCTTGTTCCCGTTACTGGAAACAACTTTTAGTAATACAAAAGCAACTTTACTATAGGTGAAATATATATGAATGCAGTCACCTATATGACTAGAAGTGAAAATTGCAACCAGTGGTACGTGACCACGAGGTCTCTAGCCGCAGAGAGAACTGCAATGGAAGGATTTCTCTCCATCACTGAGCAATTAAGACAGAGAAAAGAAACAGCCAAAGTGTACACAATCAACAGCAGTGGAAATGAAATGGGTCAGATTTGGGTGCTGCTCTAAACAGGACTCTGAGCTTGGAGTTGTAGGAATACATGAAATAGTGAATGTTGCTGCTGTCTACTTCCCACCCCTTGCTGCCAGGACACAGGGAGGAACAAAGCCTATTCTGGTTTAAATAGCTAATGGATTTGTTCCCCAAAACACTCCATGTCCCTTTTAAGTTTAAAAAAGCATTTACAGGGTGACAAGAAACATCCACTTGAGTGACATACTTCTAAGGATGAAACTTTGGGGGGGTTTGTTGGGACATCTTAGAAAAATGACAACCCTCTCAAGCCACCTGTACCAAGACAGTAAGTCTGTGTAATGGCATGAAGGTGTTCCTGATCCCTGAGAGTAAGTGACATTAAGTGGAGCCAGGGGGAAAGAAACAAAAAACTGTACTTGCAGGTGGTACACACAACTCCTTGAAACTACTTACCATCTGTCACTTCAAATGATTCTAGAAAAAGATCATCTAATCTGATGAGAGCAAGAGCATCCTAAAATATTAAGAGATTTGTTATCAGTGGGTTACAGTACCACAAGTGTTTTCTTTACACATATAAAGAGGCAACATCAGTAGTATTTTTCCACTTATCAAACAATAGTCAGCTAAAGTCAGAATGACTGTTTTCATTAATATAAATTTTTACGTCTGTGTAGAGAACCCAAGATGTGCTTAGACCCCCCCCCCCCCTTTCACCCAAAACCCACATAAACACCGCTGGGCACAA